TGTCTGTAAAACACTAACCTTGAATTTTAAAAAAGAGAGCATCTATCGGAAAATCACTAAAGATGCAAATACCGGCAACGGATACGATATAAATTAGCACCCACACAAAGTATGAAACGTTTTTTATTCTACCACCACTTCCAATCAAGAGCAAAATAATGATTTCAATAGTGTTATGAAATACTCCAATAACACTCCATAACTTTCCTATATCAACTATTAGACTTGCAAGTGCTGTAATGGATGTAACCAAAGTGTAAGTTACAAGTGAACGATTGAAATCAATTGTTGACACTTCGGAAATGGCGCTTTCTTGGTTATCATCATCGGAAACGGTGTAAAATTTAGTGATAAGGCTGGGCTTTGTCGGTGGATTGAGAACCAGTTTCAAGCCAATCACACCAACCACGAGCATTATAACAGCTATGAAAATGCGCATTGTGTCATTTTTCTGTCTATCATATCCTAATAATGAATGATAATTGTGTTAATTTTTAAGCCTCTTTATCATCAATTTATCTAGTTATTAAAACAAAAAAAAAACCTTGATAAACCCCATGCCATGTCGGATATCCAGTTAAACGATCTTGTACCGGTTCTATCTTTGTGATTTTCACCGTAAAGAAACTTAAAATTATCGCTCCTAACACGCCAAACGCGAATATAATCGCAAGAAGATGTCCGCATTTTAAACTCATTTTTGTAATTCGTTAGTTATGAACAAAAAAAAAATTTTTTAGTATTTAATAAATAATTATAACGGTTAAATAAAATGTTATATAATTTATGTAAATCGCGAAAATTTTCCAAAATATGCACAAGTGATAATATGTATCCAAATATTTAATTTTTTAGAGAATTATATCTTGCCATCATAAATAAAGCAATTTTTTTATTTTATCGTGGAACCTTTTATTTTCGGCTTGTTTTTAGCATAGCATAACAAAGAATGCCGAAAAGCTTAACTTTATTTGGAAAGGTATCGGTTTATGGTTAGATCAAGATTAGAAGTTTCTATCATTTTTATAGCTTATAGCATTATGGAAAAAAAAAATTTCAAGCTTGCGCCCCGAAAATGTGGCTTTTTATTTTTAAAATACTTACCCGAATCAGCGCTGCGCCCCGATAGCTAAAAATCATCATTTATTTATTTTTTTTTTTAGTTACAAATAATTCTTATAATTCTTATTTTTCAAAACTTTATCGATTTGTTTTGTATCACATGTCTTTTTATCACAAATTTTCAATATGATTCGATTATACTTTCTTCACAACCTTAAAAATTAGGATTTTCCCTGTGTACCCTTCAAAAAATGTCACGAAATTTCACGTGATATATTTTTTGTCACAAGTGTCACATCCCTCCGTTAATTTTTACTTAGTATTATGGTAGGTGAAATACTATATATCACGCCCTTATTTGTCAAATAGTTAATTTCTTAATGCCGTAATGCCAGCCATTTCGGAAGGGTTAGCGGCTGCGAGCAAACCCTAATCACATTAGCGAAGTAAAGACGTTTTTAGGATTACTTGGAGCTTCGGTTTGATATCGGCGCGGAAGTATTTGTTTGCACAAATTCTTCTGCGAAATTCGGAATGACGGTCGATTTGGGAATCCTTCTAAGGTTTTCTTCCCTTTGGGATTCCACGCGTTAAAATACATAGATGATAAATATGGAGAATTCCCCATAGTACTTCTCTTCCATAAGGCTTCTTTTATAACAGGTCCACACAAGTTATCTAACAAAATGAGAGAGCAGGTAATATGAAGAAGTAACCTATGACCCGATTTATTTACATAGATATATAAGTTGTACCAAAATTCTAAAATTTTTTTTCTCGTGTGGCACGGTAAATTATTATCTTTATTGTTGTTTACACGAAACGAAGCTTAGAAATTTATCATTACAATGCTTGCTGGTGAAAAGTTATTTTGACCTTTCTTGTTAGACCATATACAGTATATATATTTAATAAAAAAGATCGTTATCTTTATATCATGCATGCGTGAAGTATACAGTAATAAAATTTCTACAAATGAATGAAAATATAGGTGACATCTTCTGAAAAATTAATCGCAGTTGGAGCCACCATCATAGTAGAAATTAACCAATTAGATTCTCATATTTTTCGGCCCGACTTACTGGATCTTCAAATTCGGCTGCAGAAATTTTTACAACTTTAAACTCATAGCCACCCCAATTTTTGTTATCTTTAATTACCATCAAACCAAAAGCTTCATGAATCCGAATTTTTTACTTCAAACAAGCAATTCATTGATGCTGGTAGTAAAAAACCGCAGCTTGAAAGGCCCTCTACGATGGGCCATTTAGGTTTCTTACTCGTGCGTCTACGATTGTTTCCGGCGTGATATTGTGTAATTCATATGGGCGCTAAGCTATTAAAATCACCTTACGGGATAAGAAATTGATTTTGAGTAAATGATGATTTAAAAAATGCTACGCCACAGTAACATTTCCAACCAATAATAAATTGTTCTATTTTTAAATATTGAGTCAAATTAATAAATAAGACGATACTAAAATTTATTATTTAAAATTTTTACTATTAAATTATTATTTATTTTATAATTTTTAAAATTTTTTGTTATTATAAAATATATAAATTTTAAATTAAATGAATTCAATTTCGTAACACTTGAGATTTTGCTATTAAAATCACCCTACGGGACATTGTTACACTAACTTATTAGAAAATTCAATTTTAAAAAAATTATTTTTTATATTTATTATATTTATGACGGACTAATTGCTTGCTTTGTTAATAAGATAATCGACTATAAAAATTTAACCAATATATCATATAATAATATGAATCAAAGATCTCAATTTTGGTTGGTGGGGTCCCGCAAGGTGATTTTAATAGCTTAGCCTCCATATTTTAACAGGGAGAGAGGGTCTGTCACGTCTTGTATTGGCAAAATTTTCCTTTGCGGTCAGACCATTTGGAAGACAACACGAAAAATGACATTGCTAGTGAAAGAAACTTGGTTTGTGAAAACTCCTAATTTCTTTTTGGTTAAGGGGACAAGAATGCCGATGTTGAGTAAATATTTGCCAATCTCGCTAAGATTAGATAAATCCATTTCCCAAGATTCATCTTTAATTGTTGTGAGACCACAAACATAGGATAAATTAGTTTGATCCATATTTCGCAATACTTCCTTAATCTTTATATGGGGGCTAAGCTATTAAAACCACCTTACGGGACCCCACCAACTAAAATTGAGATTTTTGATTCATATTATTATATG